CTTACCTTTTTGAAATACTGAATTGGCTCATTGTAGGCCTACTCTACCTGCACAGAGAAGATTCACTTATTTCCTGTCCCCAAGGTGTGAATGCCTACTGTCCACACATGCCATTTGTTCGTTCATTATTTCATTTCTTGTAGGCCTGTGTGCTTTCGGGAGGAGAAATACTGCGCTTTGATTAGGCACAGCTGGCAGGGTTTAGATTGGTTAACGCTGGTCGTACATGCACGTGTAATCACACGTACCATTTGTAGAAATGTGGCAAACGTTTTGAAGGTCACAAGTGCAACTGGGCTGCACCTTTAAGACATAACTGATCAGCTATGGGTAGCGACACCTTGCAATACAGGACTATCTTTAGCATGAGAGAGAGGTCACATAAGTGTGTACACTGGATGTGTATATGTGGAGTATGTTGCCCACATTTGTCACGTAGCAAGCTGACATGTTCATACATTTCTACATAAGCATAATGCATTAGAAGAGTTGGATGTTTGTTCAATTGTCCGGACGCAAACATACACGTACGTACATGTATGCAGTCCATATACGGTATGACATTTCTTAGCCCGACGATTTTTTCATTTTGGTGGATTTCACAGGCACTGACTGTGAACACTACAGATTCAGAAAAATTCAGCAAGATTCAGAAAATTTCTCCTATTTTTTTTCCCTTGATGCAGGAGTTTTTAATATTAAGGGAGAATAATTTTTTACATTTTTTCCCCCCGTGCAGTATTTTTATTGAACTGAAATAAAAGCAAAACAGTGTTCAGTGAATACATACCACCAATAAATGGCTGACTATTGCTGGTCTCATGTCAACACGACACCCAGTGATGCCATCTTTTGACCCTAACCCACTTGGGTCTTCTGCTGGGACACATCCTCAATCCTCCAAAATCCTTAAGTGGCCCTAGTCCAAAAATTGCATTCATCCTCAATCCTCCAAAATCCTCCAATCTTTGCACTTACATGTACGTGTAGGCCCAAAATGTAGGCCTCAAGATCCCGCGGCAATTCCTGCCATTATGTTGAGGCAGTGCAAGTGGTTTTCTCAAGCAGTGCGGTTGATTTGAAAGTAATGCCGGGCTAAATGTATGCGTGACTAAGCGTAAACAATACAAGGTCCGACCCATGACCTTCACACATGGCATCCTTCACTCTCAGCCATACAGTTTTACCATTCATCCTCAGTCCTCCATAAATCCTCCAAAAACTCCTCAAAGGATTCCTCCTCCTCCTCAAAGGATTTTTGAGGGGGGTTACAGGGTCAATCCTGGATCATTTAGTTTGTATGTAAAGAAAGGACAGCCTTAACTTCTTATAATCCGTCCAGATTTCATTCTACATGTGCCTACAGGTTCTCAATCCAGTAAATGAAAAACCAAAAATCAGCAGCCTCGAGGTTTCCGGGAGCAGACCCCTGTTGTCCATTTGATGGTTTCAGTTTTTCCGTTTAATGTACATGTACATAAATGTTTTGTTTGATTGCAACTCTTACAGGTTTAACCAGCGGCACAACCACCCAAGCCCCTTCTTCACAAACGGTAATCAATTGTTCCGCGATTAACAGTGGAACCTCGTTAATAAGAGATCCTTTGAACCTCATGGATTACCTTGCACCATCAGGAGTGAAGACAGTGAAGAACAGCGGATTGGAACTTGAAAATGTCCTTGTTAAAAGCAGAGATTTGTAGCTCCCTAGGGTGTATGTAAAATCATATTGATATTGCAGGATCGAGGACACGGCTTAACAGTCCTCTTATGAATGAGGTTCGACTGATACACATGTACTTGTACAATGTACATGTACTTTGCCTTTCTATCCTGTTGGCATGTTGTTGAACACGGACAGTTTTATTAACAATCAGCTGTCAGTCCTTCTTCCCCATGTGCCTGCGATGTCCTCAGAAGCAGTTGCACTCATTAGTGTGTTTGCTTTGTTGTATGCAGTAGCTGTAGTGAAAACATCATTTGAATCTTGTTGACTTTGAAGATGTAAAACACAGAAGGAAGAATATCTTCATCAACATTCCTCAGTGAACATTGTAAAAATCCAATATACTACATATGTGTCAGCTAGGCACCGTCTGTCTAAAGTTATAAAGAATTTATACGAGAAGTACATGTACCTCCAAAATATGTACCGGTACATGTCATTTCATGCACCAGTGCAAAGTTAATATGACAGTCTACATTGTTTTGTATTTCAGTCCACCGGTTTGCCAAGTACTGGTAGGGTCTTTGCAACAACACAGCTATCAGGTGGTGCAACAAAAGTTGAAACAACTCCAGTTGATACAACTGCATCACGGTTCACAAGTGGTGCAAGTACAGAAACGAGTGATGCAACGACTGTGACAAGTCAAGTTGATGCAACTACAGCAGGATTTACCATTTCTACGGCAACCCGCAAAGGTGATGCAACAACCACCGAATCTGCAACAACACAACTTGATGCCACTATGACATTGTTGCCAACTACTCCAAGCACACAGATAACAGATACTACAACCGTGGAAACTGGGAAAACCCAAGTTTATTCAACTACCAGTCCATTTGGATTGACTACAGCCACTGAAATACAGACAAGTGGTACAATAACTCTAGGGGCTGAGACAACAATGCGTGATCCAACAACGGCTGGAATAACAAATGTTGCAGAAACACAGGCAATTTATACAACAACTGTAGAACCTGTGACAACAGCAGTTGATGCAACCACCATGCAATTGGAAACTGCTGCAAGAACACAAAGAGGGAATGTAACAACCATGGAAACTGAGGGAACGACAGGAGGGCCGACAACTGCTTCTGAAACACAGACACGTAATGCAACAACTGTAGAAACTGGGACAACTGAAGTTAATTTCACAACAGTCAGGTTAACAACTGCTTTGGGAACACAGACAAATAGTACAACGACTGCAGAACCTGTGACTACTCAAGATAATTTGACAACAGTAGGACCGACAACTGCTGCAGGAACACAGACCACTATTGGAACAACTGTAGAAACTGAGACAGTTCAATTTAATTTCACAACAGAAGGACCAACAACTCCTTTCATTACGCGAACAGATAATGCAACAACTGGAGAAACTGA